TTGTTTTGTACCAATATCATATCGAGTACGAAGACGATTTGATGCTGCCAATGGTGCACCATCTTTCAACCAAACAAACTATATTAAACACAAGAAATAAAGATTTTCTTTTTTTTTTGGCGTAATAAAGTCTTACATTAGGTGTAGGTTTTCCAACAATCGTAGCTTGAAGAAGAACAGGTGAACCTTCATTAACTTGTACGCCTTTCAATGGTACAACTACTTTTGGTGCTTCCATTTGTTTCATATCTTCTTTTGTTGGAGGTGGAGCTTTAAGTTCTAATTGTGTAAAGTATTCTGGTTGTATAAATGGTCGTGTATCAATTGATGCTACAGGTCGAATTGTTAATTTACATGTTGTTTCATCAGTACCAGATGGATTTGTTACACGAACTGTATAAGTTCCTTGATCATCAGGACGAGCAGCAAGAACTTGTAATGTTAATGCTTTTGTATAAATGTCATATTTCGTAGTAAATCGATTGCCTTCAAGAAGTGGTTGACCATTTTTATACCATGTAAACTTAAAATAAACATTTAGTTCTTCGAAGTCATGGAACAAAAGAGGATGTGAAAAAGAAATTTTATATGAAGACTAAAGTCAATGAAAAGTGGTGAAAAATCAAACGTTTGTTTTTATTTTAAATGAAGAGAGAAATTAGAGTTCCGTCTTTTGGCAAGTAGTAGAATTCTGCTTCACAGACGTTTTCTATGCATGATCATAACCTGTACTACGCTATGTATGTGCTAGTCCTCTTGCGAGTCTTATCTAGTGACCGGCGTGACTGCCGTGACTATCAGTGAGCCACGGTCACGGTCACGGTCACGGCCGTGACCGTGCGTGACTTTTTTTAAAGATCGTGACTGGAGCTTGGTCACGGTCAGTCACGGGAACTGTCTCGAAATTTTGGAAATCCCTGAGGGGGAGTAAGGGGACCTTCGCGAAGCTACCGTCTCCCACCCGCTCATCAGTTTTTATGAATAATTTCGAAGTTTCTAGTATTCGTGATTTTGGAAACTCCTGAGGGGAAGCACGGACACCTACGCGAAGCTACCCTCCTCCGATCAGCACTTTTAATAGCAAACAGAACCCTAGTCTCAATCCTGTTCATTCCTTTAGAAATTTTGCAAGGATCTGTCAGGATTCTAAATCTCCAAGATCTTATCAAGTTTTCCTCAGGATCCCGGCTCAATTCCTGATAATTCCTGTTGCCGGAATTTCTCACAGTTATACAGAATCCTGTTTAGGATTTATTTCCGTATCTGACCAGATGTGTTTGTAGATAATGAATACAAGATCCTTCAAGGATTCATTCATGATCCTGCTTAGGATCCTAGCAGGGATAATGGAGAGGATTCTCTCAAGATTTTATCAAATTTTAGACAAGATCTGATGCGGATCTTGATACAAGGATCCAGTCAACTTTTGCAGCTAAAACTGAGGAGCGTCGCAACAAAAAGTCAACAAGAGAGCATATCAGTGACTGTTCTTGTCAGTTAATACAAGTAGAACTTCTGTTCATACCCACAACCACATCTTGTTTTCTAAATTATTCCAGGTTAAACAACAATGGTAACCTGGTCAGGGTCCTGATGGAATCCTTTTTCGAATCCTGCTGGGATCTTGAAATTCCGTGGCTACACACTTCTTTCAGGATTTCATCGTTTCCTCAGGAAAAAAGAGTGAATTCTGGAAAGATGCTGACTGAATCCATAAAGAACCTGGTACGGAAACATCAAAGATTTTCCCTAGGGAAGCTTTGCAATTGCTCTTTCTGGAAAGGTTTTTTTCATGTTGAGAAACCAGAAAGAAGGACCGTGACCGTGATCAACCCCTCGTGACCGTGACCGTGATCAACCCCTCGTGACCGTGACGTGACCGTGGCCAAAAAAGTTGGTCACGCCGGACACTAGTCTTATCTCTATGCTAATGTTCTTCTGAGTGTCGACATAGACATCAGCATTGAGGAAAAATAAGATTTCATATAATCACTCGAAAAAATACAACTGAAAATACATCAAATCTTTTCAGATCACGAAACCCTATTGAAACGAAAAACAACCGAATAATTTCAACAAAACTTATATCAATGTATTCTTATCGGACGGCTTTTCACTGGTAAGAAATTCTTCTTCAACCTTCCTATATTTTTTCTAATTCTTACTTGTTTAAGAGAGAACAAAAAAAAAATTTACCGTAGCCATTGGGACACCAGCATCAATTATAGTTGTTAGTAGTACAGGCA